ACCCTTCCTTCGTGGACTCATGGTTAGGCCTATGTCAGGTAAAACACGGCTTTGGAAATATTTACCTCAGTGTTAAAATATTCAATTTAAAAACAAAATTCATGAAACGGAACGTACACAATTTCAAGCAATAAACCTTCCAACACTCACCCAAGGTACCTCATCCAGGACCTTTTCCGTTAGCAAAGTATTCCACGCTCCAAGACTATCCGATAGTTGGGTGCAGATTGCTTATTCGAATCCCACCGCTGCCACCATCTGTGACGAAGTCCAATAGTCCGGTTCGGAAGCAAACAGAATGATATATACGTACACGGTAGCGTAATGTTCTATGCTATTTAATCTTCAAAAATGTAGTAAAATTCATATAACGTAAAGTAAAGCCCAAGTCCCACTTGGCTGTTATTTCTGTGAACACATATGATTACAACCTAAGTCCCACTTGGTTGGAGTTATTCGCACTTAGGTGTCCAAGTGATAACTACCTCCCCTCTTTTCAAAGCATACTAATAAAGAAACCTCCCAGCATTAGATCTACATTCCTTTCTAACCACATCCTTTCGGTTCCCATACAATTTCATCTTATTCATTAACTGGTCCTGGTCATTGAACATTTTGGTCCCCACAATTGACATGTCAGAGCCAAATGATAAATGACCAGTCACTGGCATCAAATCAATGGAATGATATATCAAATAAAACAATGTCATTGACCTGTATGCCTGGCCAATGATTAGAAATAGTAAATTCATGAATAACCCCTACTGAACCATGGGATAAATCCCATGCTACGTCACAATCACTTTTACTCCAACCATGTACCATACCTTTTGTATGTTCTTATAGGAAGATTGGGATTTCCTGCAACTGCAGTGCGCCCTCTACATCAGCAGTGAGACGACAGGAATTCCACTGAACATGCAGGTAAGGAGAAAGTTTTATTTGTCATTCTTGTCCCTGTAAACATTGCTACTGTAGCAGAGTGTATTAACACACATTTTACATAACAAATTTTGATTTAAAAAAACACTATATCTTTTAGCCCAAGAAACCCACAAGAGGATTTTGTCAGAGGTTAAAGGGCAAGCAAGGGCGTTTCCGTGGAAATCTATCGGGCAAGAGGGTAGATTTTTCCAGCCGAACTGTTATTTCACCAGATCCTAATCTACGCATTGATGAGGTATTATAAAACTTCATTACAAAGTTATTATGCTTTCTCACCACAACAATAATTTTAGGAAGTGTATAAATACACCAACTAAGGACTTAATTGTACCCTCCTTACATCTTATTTTCAGACTTTGGAGAAAGGTTTTTGGTTTTTTTTATCATCAGCCCACGAATTTCACGTCGGCAATCGGCAATTGCCTACCATATTGCCGAGCCAGAATTGCTACAGGACGGCAATTTTTTGCCGACCTAGCCTAGATTTCTTTGCTTGAAAAACTGCTTGGAAAGTCATAAACTTTTACTGAAACGGGCTATAGCAGACACTAAATTTCATGTACGTCGTCAAACCAAGGAAATTGGTGGTTCATAAAACAGATTTGTTTGTGCAATAACTATTTCTAATAGGCATGCAGTACGTACAGTACAATTTGTGTACAATCTTCTTATCTTTCAATCTCGCCTAGTCGTTTCGTAGGCTAGGCCTAGAAATGACGCTAGCCAGCCATGGCCTACAACATCGCCCAATAGAAGCCACGTGGGCCGCGTAGATCGTAATGCTTATTTAAATCTATTATTTGTCTTCATTTTACAATATTATTATCATATTTAAAATGTTGTTTATTATCTAAAAACAACAAAATTCAACATATTGTAGGCCTAATCCTACCGTCCATTTAAACGCAATCACGATCGCATCGTGACTTCACTACTGACAAGTACTGTACATGTGTGGAAAATCCCTGATAGATCATTCTGGGCATGCGCATGGACATGCATGGGCAGTTTTGAAGCAGCCTGTGATGCTGTGATGATACGATCGTAGCTTTTACGAAAGTTCCCATGCCAAAGATAATGATAAAACGAACGCTAAAACGAAATTTATTCGGCGATTTTCTTATCTAAAACATAATATTATACTACACTATTAAATTAATACAAGTATGACCATTCTTTCACCAGCAATATATTGATTTAAGAGAAATTAACAAAATCACAATCTTTAGATGACGATGTAAGTTCGAGTGTTTGGAAAAATCGTAGTTTATACTATATAGGCCTAGGTAGTAAAAATTTGCCGAGGCCGGCAAATTTTTGCCAACCTAATTTTTTTCTAATTTCATGGGCTGGTTTTTTTTAATTATTATTTCTGTGTCTTTTGTGTTTTATTTCTAATACCTGTTGTCTTTATAGGTAGCTGTACCTGTTCATGTGGCAAAGATTCTAACCTATCCAGAAAAGGTTGGTAAAAACCATTCAAAATGTGATGTTAAAGAAAAAGTTTGACCCTTATAGTTCTGTAGTAAAATGATATTGATTAGAATTGATAGTAATAATACTGATTATATGATGATCAGCTCAGAATGTTTGCTATCGTGAAATATTAGTACTAAATTTTATCAGAAATTCTATAAACCCATTTTCATTAAAACATCCCTTTAATACATATTTTATTGAATATATCAAATTGACTGGGCATACGTCGTGACTCAGATTGTTGTAACACCTCACATTTATGCCTGTATAAAATTAAAGGAATTACCTATTTTTTTAGGTCACAAATTACAATAAGAAGTTGATGCAGAAACTTGTGACAAATGGAGTTGATGTACATCCAGGAGCAAACTTTATCCAACAAAGATTTACAAACGTGAAAAAGTAAGTGAGACGAACAGAAAAGAGCAGATGAAAAAAAGGATAACTACAGTAATGGATGAATAGGATGCAGCAAACGGAGTGAAGATGTATTAAGCTATAAATTTAAGGCAAATACGAAATCGAAGATGGAATAAGGAAATACCTGATGCAGTCGAGGAATTGAAAATTAAGTGAATGATGAGTTTTTAGGACTGATAAAAAAGTGAAGATAAAAAGGGATGAATTTCAGCAGGTAGAAATTGAGGTGATAGTGGAATATTGTATGAAGTTGATTCTGAAATAGTAAACATAAAGAGATGAATTTTATTTGGATTGGGAAGTGAAGATTATGAAAAGGTTCCAAAACATAAGAGTAAGTGCCAGTAACAAGTATAAGTAAGGATATAATGAATTCAATGTTCTCTTATTGGCATAAAATTCCTGGTACAGTAGATATATTTTCTTTTCATCTTTAGGTTTCTTAAGTATGGCAACAAGCAGAAAATTGCTCAAGAATTGAAGGTAGGATGTCCTCATGATAAATATTCATATTTAAAATACTCCATTTTTCCCCCATATAATAATCATGTGATTAAAATGATATTCTTATTTTTGCTATTTATATTCACATAATCTCTATGTTGTGTTTTTTTTTTTTTTTTTT